ATGTTGGGTTATTTATGATACCTATATCTTCTTGATTCAGCATTTGGTAATTTGTATGTATATCGGAATCTGTCCATTTCTTCTGTATTTTCCATCTTATTAGACTACAAGTTCTCAAAGTAAATATAGATGATCTTGGGCTGGGGATTTAGCTCAGCGGCATAAGCACCTGCCTTGCAAGCAGGCAGTCGTGAGTTCAATACCTGGTACTGATAAAAAGGAAAAAGACAAAAAAAAAAAAAAAAAAAAATATATATATATATATATATATATATATATGATCTTGTGAATTTCTGCAGTGTCTGTTGTGATTTCATCCTTTTCATTCCTAATTCCATGGATTTGAGTCTTTCCTTTTTTTGATAAGATTGGCTCAGGGTTGTTAATTTTACTTAATCTTTCAGAGAACCAACTCTTTGATTCATTGATTCTTTATATTGATTTTGTAGTCCCCAGTGTATTACTTTCTGCTCTGATATTTATAATTTTCTCCCTTGTATGAGCTTTTGGCTTAGTCTGCTCTTTGTTTTCTAGAAGTTTGAGGTTCGCCATTAAGCTGTTTATGTGGGTTTGCTCTGTTTTCCTCGTATGAGTATATACTGCAATAAATTTCTCTCTTAAGATTGTTTTCATTATATCCAACAATTTCTGGTATATTATATTGTTGTTATTATTCACCTGTAAAAACTTTAATTTCATCTGTGATCCATTGGTTGTTCAGTAGGATGCTATTCAATTTCCATGTGTTAATGAATTTCTTGTGATTTCTTTTGCCATGGATTTCCAATTTCATCGCACTGTGGTCTGATAGTATGCATGGAATAATTTCATTTCATTTGCATTTAATTAAGTGTGTTCTGTGAGCCATATATGGTGTATTTTGGAGAACATCCTGTGTGCAGTTGAGAAGAATATATATTTGGATGTCATGGGGTGGAACACTTTATAGACATCTACTGAGTCCATGTGTTCAACAGTTCATTTTAGTTATAAAATAAAATTATTTATTTTTTAGATCTATCTTTTTGTATCAGTGGGATATTGAGATCTCCCAGTACAACTGTATTAGGGCTTATTTGATTTTTTTTTTTTTTTAAAAGATTTATTTAAGGAGAAAAAAGAAAAAAAAACAGAAAAGGGGTACAATTTATACAGAATTTCAGAAAAAAAAAACCAGTAGGAAATCACTAGTTAATAGATTACATATTGTCATCTTAGAAATAGTTGTTCAAGTTAAAAAATTAAAGCATATAGAGTGGACACTCAAACAGTGAGACTGCAAACAGTTTTGTTCAATGATCCAATAAAACTTGGTAATATGGTGACTTACTTGGTTTTTGATGTCCGTTAGTAATTGTTTTATATAGTTGAGTGCACTGGTATTTGTTGTGTATATATTTAGGATTGTTACCTCTTCCTCTTGGATTGTTCCTTTTAGGAGGATATAGTGACCTTTATCTCTCTTAATCAGTCTTGGCTTGAAATTCACTTTATCTGCAAATAGAATAGTACTCCTGCTTTCTTCTGGGTTCGTGTCACATGGAGTATTGTTTTCCATCCTTTGACAATTCAGTCTATGAGTTTCTTTTTGAATTAAATGTGTTTCTTATATATAGCATATTGTTGGATCTTGCTTATTGATCTGTTCTGATAGTCTGTGTCTCTTGACCAGTGAATTGAGGTCATTAACATTGATGATTACAATTGATATGTATTGATTTACACTTGTCATGTTTTTTCCTATTGTCCCCACACACACACACTTTTTTCTCCCTCCAATTGCTTACCTTCTCTGGTAGATTCTTTCTGTTGGGGTTCATGGAGCTGTAGTCTTGTTACCTTTTTATAGAATGTCCTTCAGAACTTTTTTGAGTGCTGGTTTGGTGGTCATAAATTTTCTGAGATGTTTTTTGTCCTAGAAGTATCTTGTTTCTTCATCAGTTTTGAAAGATAGGCCATGTTGGAACTTAGGACTCTGGGAAGCCAAGCAAGCACCTCCCCTTCCTGGTAAGCTGCGGCAGTGTGGCCCATTGCAACCCTTCCAAGGGGAGAACCAGCAATGTTTCCTGAGATCCACGCCATGTTGGAACTTAGGACTCTGGGAAGCCAAGCAAGCACCTCCCCTGCCTGGTAAGCGGCAGCAGTGTGGCCCACTGCAGCCCTTCTAGGTGGAGAACCAACAGTGTCTCCTGAGATCCACGCCATGTTGGAACTTAGCACTCCGGGAAGCCAAGCAAGCACCTCCCCTCCCTGGTCGGGGAGGCAGGGTGGCAGACTGCAGCCCTTCCAGGGGGAGAACCAGCAGTGTCTCCTGAGATCCACGCCATGTTGGAACTGAGGATGCTGTGAAAACAAATGACCATCCTGCTTTCCTGCTTTCCTGCTTAGCAATAGTGAACCTACTGCTACATAGCCTAGAGTCAAATATCCCACGTTCCCTATCACACCCCCCCTCGCGCCCATTAGCAAATGGGAACCAGAAATCTGAGCATCTCCTGGCAGGTTGGCCATAGAAAATAAGGGGGACTTCCTTCTACCATTTCTTTGAAGGCAAATATTTTTATTACTGTTTTGGTCTTTTCTAATTAATGGTACTGCTCTGTTCAATATTCTGTTTTGATAAGTTTTTTAGTGTTCTATAGTTCATCTCATTTTGATATACATGACTGAAAGAACAACTATTATAAAGATAACAAAATATACTGTGATACCTATTACTGTTATCCTGGTAACCTGCTGTGAAGTTCTGTACCAATTTCACTGTACGATTTTAGTTGGCTTTATTCTGACTTGTTCTGTTGTATACTTTCAAAATTAAAAAGAAAAAAAAATTTTAAAAAAAGGATAGTTTTGTGGGGTACATAATCTGGGTTGAAATTTGTTTTCCTTTAGCACTTGGAAGTTTACTCAAAGCTCTCCTTAACTTGACAATTTGTGCTGAGAAGTCAGCTATGATCCTGATGAGTTTTCCTTTATAGGTGGTTTGTTTCTTTTCCTTGACAGCTTTTAGGATTCTATTCTTATGTTGAATTTCTGAAATATTGACTATGATATGCCTGGCTATAGATTTTTTGTTTTTTGATCATTGCTAATTTGGAGTTCTGTATTCTTCATGTATTTGTATATCAGATTCTTTTTCTATACCAGAAAAGTTTTCTGTCATGATGTCTGTGAACATTTTTTAGTGTTCATTTTGATCTCTTCTGCTTGTTCATTGACTCCAGTTAGCCTTAAGTTATTCTTCTATGTCTCACCTAGCAGCTGCTGGATTGATTTCTCATGGTCCCTTGCTAGTTTTGAGAAATCTTTCTTGTTTTGATTGCTAACTGCAAACCTGTCTTCAGTATATGAGATCCTGTCCTCACATTGGTGTAATCTGTTTCAAATATTTTCAGTGGAGTTTTTATCTGCTTGAATTTGCTTTATAGATTCCGTTTCTTTCCTATGCTGATCTTCCCTAATGTTCTTAAGCTCGTCTATTTTTTTTTTTTTTTTGGTCTGTGTCTGCTCTAACGTTCTTACACATAGTATATATTTTGATAATTTCTTTAATTATCTGAGAGATTATTTCTGATTTCAGTTTTTCCAGAGCCTCATTTAATTGATTTGTTGTTACCATTTCAGAGAGGCCTGGTTGGAGGGGCTTTCAGATTGTCCCACCTCATTGCCCCCTGGATTTGCCTTTGGCGAAGTGGACGTCTGGGGTTGCGTTTTGCATAAGTGTCTCTTATTTTATTTTGTCTCTTTTTATAGTTTGATTCCTGGAGTGATGCTTGTAAGTTGCCTATGGTGTGTTGCTTTATTGGGTGTATTTAGGACTCTTTGGTGGTGATACTTCTCTGAGGTATCTTCCAGCTGTAGCTGGTTTTGGGGTTTTGAATCTGTTGGAAAATGTTACCTTTTCAGTTTGTTGGAGATGTGAAGTTGTTGCTCATTTGACCTAGTTCCTCGTTGTTTGGCACTGTGCCACAGTATTTTCTGTGACCTTAAGTCAATTTCAGTCATGGAATACCAGGACCCACAGCTGTTTAGAACAATTATGTTAATTTTGGCTATAGTGGTATCAGTAGCGTCAAACACAGCCTAGAAAAAGACAAACTGAGCTAACCCTTAATTTACAACTTTTAACCATATGAGCTAGATTTGTGATTATGTAAAACAAGATAAATTATATGCAATATATAAATGCTTAGTAGGTCAATTTTGCCTGTGGAGGTTAAACTTTAAAATGAAAGGATAAAATAGAGAAGTGGAAGAAGAGAAAGAGATTAGAAGTAAGGTTGGAGTTTGATAAAGGGGGATCACACCAACTTTGGAAAACTGGTACAGAAGACTGAAGGAAAAGAGAGATGAAAGAAATAACAAGAAGAACAGAACAGAACTATATCCACGAAGAGGTTAGGAACCACTTTCACACTCAAAAACAATGAAGAAGAAAGAGGGAGAAAAAAAAAGAAAAAAACCCAACAGTCTACTTCCAGGATTCTCCCTGCTTTCACTAGTAAACAATCTGTGGAGACAGAGTCTCAAATTGTGCCAGTCTATTCCAGAAAGCCAGCAGTACCTTTCTGGTGGGGTAGTAGATAACCTTTGCAGGCCTGCCTCAAACCAAACTCGTTGGGCTTGTCACAGTCCAAGCAGTTTCCACAGGTCTGAGCCCAGCTGGGAGCTGCTAGATGAGGCCTGGGGATTTGGTTCAGTGGCACAAATGCCTGCCTGGCACGCTAGCAGCTATTCAGGGTTCCAAGCTCAGCTGGCCCATCTCCAAGATGGCTACTAGCTAATCACTGTGTCCCACAGAGAATTAAGTCCTCTGCCCTCACCACCAGCCAGTGTAGTCAGTCCTCCACGTCTGCTGCTCCCCTCCACTGCTGCGTCTCTCTGCAGAGGCCTCCAGGGTTGCCAGCCCTCACCATCACCGTTTCATGACCGTCCATCCCCAGGGTCAAGCACAGCAAGTCCCATGTCAGGGAGAAGGTACTGGGGGCTGCCACCTTCTTTGTTGAAGTTTTTCTTTCTCACCTTCTCTGTGGGCTTAAGTTTGCACTTTAGATTCTTCCTGGATCTTTCCTCCTTCCTGTCTTCCTCACTGTGCTGTATTCCAGTGTCTGCACGGTGATGCTCAGAGAGGTTGTTTTCCCTGCTGCTTACTGCTCTGCCATCTTCCTGGAAGTCCTAGAATGTACTTGAAAAAGTTTCTCAAAATACTCTTCTTGATTGTGAAATTACCCTGATGTTTTTCTTTCCAGTGTAGGAGAATGCAGGTTTTTCTCTTTAAGTTTATCAAATATACATGCATACATAGTTTTTTAAAAAAGAAGAGAATAAAGCACTATTTACATTTCTCTGCTTGCTTCTTTCATTTAACAGGATGTTAGGAACATTACACCAGATCAAACAGGCCAACTCCTTTTCCGTGTGCTGTGCCATTTCTTTATTGAGGGACCTCTCAATTTTTTGCTTTCAGGCCTTGTGACCTCTGCAGGAGAATAGCTTTTGAGTTTTAAATATTAACAGTTGTACATTTACAGTTAATATTTTTAAACTAATTTTTTGAATAATCACATGGTTCAGACATTAAAATAAAAACAATTTATACAGCAAGACATTTTTCTCCTCTCCTTTCTGCCTATTTCCTGTTGCCCCACACATCATATTATTAGTTTCTTAGGTGTTCTCTTAGTCATTTTAATACACAGGCAAATATGAGTACATATCTTCTCTTTTGCTTCTTGCACAAACAATAGCATACTGTGTGCTCTGTTATATGCCTTGACATTTTTAATGATTTGTTTTAGGACAAGTTTTTTTTTTGCAATTTTCTACCTACCTTCCTATTTTTCTTTATTCAAACTATCAAATTTCTCAAGTGTGAGACTTTACAGTTGTCAACTGTTCATCCTCCCATAGCCATTCACAGAATGAAGATTTCTGAAATTGCTTTCGTAAAGTGCTAGCCTAGTGCAATAGTGCATGCCTGTAATCTCAGCTATTCAGCAGGCTGAAGCAGGAGGATTACAAATTGGAGTCCAGCTTGGATAATTTAGGGAGACCTTGTCTGAAAAAAAGGCTGAGGAAGTATTGGGGTTCCACTCTCCAGTACCACACACAGAAAGAAAGAAAGAAGAAAAAGAGAGAGAGAGAGGAAGGGAAGGGAGAGGAGAGGAAGAAGAAAGGAAGAAACCAAAAGAAAGAAAGGAAGGAAAGTCCGTTCCTGGGGGCCGTGCCTTTCATAAAATCAGTGATTCATTCTTTGTTTTCCTTGATAACTTTCTCTGTTTTTGTTCCTAATCATATGCCTAGAGTTCTTGAAACTTGAATACTTTGTTGTTTCTCGAAGTACATTTTGTTAAAAGAGTTCTTGTAAAAGATGTAAGATACGCTATAAATAAGATTTATCATGGCCTCTCAAAAGAACAAGAATTTATTTTCTGTGACTCCTACAAAGAAAGCTCATACTTTGAGAGTTACCGTGGGATAGATGAAAGAAAGATCATAATTTGAAAGTTCCAGATTTGAGTCTTGACTCCACCTATGACCTTAAATTTTAAATTGCTTTTCTGTGCTTTGGTTTTCTTCATCTATAATAGGGAATTATTTTTACTTACCATTTAAAAGGTACTTTTACTTAGCAAAAAAAAAAAAAAGTGCCTAGCATATTCATTGCAACATTTTAGTCATCCAGAGCTTTATCATTTCTAGGTTCATAGGACCAGCAGGTGGGAATTACAGAGAAGTAGACTTTTGGCTAATGATAGAATTTTAAAAAATTAGAACTGTTGAACAGGTTGCAACTAACAAAGATAAATCTGTCTTTGCTTATTATTCAGGGAACTCACCTCTAGACCAAACTACCAAAAGATTTGTGTTGGTTATTGGAAGATGAGGGCAAAATTTGAAATGTAGCTTGAAAAATTGAGTAGATTATACTATCATAATCTTATCTGTTTATTTTCTCTAATCCAGATATTTTGTTCTCTTATTTTGTGTATTAAAATTAACTTTGAAATTCAGCTAATCACATACAGCATAATTCACAAATTTTGAGTGTGTAGGTGTTTGATTCGATACATGTATATACTTATGTAACTAGACTCCAGTCAAATTAGAGGGCATCTCCATCTTCTTTGAAAATTCCCTCAGGGATGGATTCTTTTGTAAGTTAGCTCAAATGCTTTATAGATGTGATACAGGATATAAGTAAACAAAAACAATCAAGTTTTAATAAAAAGCAGAGTCCAGTTTTTTACAAAGCAATAATGCAGGTTCACAGAACTTACAGGTTTGAAGTTTTTTGCCACTAACCTTCAAAAGTAAATGATTATTGGAGTATCTTCATGAGTACGTGTACTTGTCAGATCTATCAATTCTTATTCTTTCTGATATATACAGTGCTATAGTTAGATGTCTTAAATGAAACTTCACTAGCATTTAAATCCTGGAAGAAGTAGTACTTGGCATAAGTGGAACATTTATTTATTTACTTATATTTATATCCATACTTAAATAGAGAGATACATAGAGTCTGCCAAAAAACATACAACAAATACTTCGGGAAAAGAAAAACTTGTGTAAATATTTTAAGACTAAATTTATTGAGATTTCTTGATTAATACAAGATATCTTTGGATTCTACAATTACAAGAGGTACTCAAAGTGGTGGCCATTACCTTCGAGACATTGATTAATGGTAACTGTTGTTTGGGTAAGCTTGGTCATTGAGATTGCTGCCCATATACTTTCAGTTTCTTTTCTGAGGGCCAGCAGTGAAGTGGATTTCCTGTGTTATACAACATCCTCTAGGGTCCCCCATACAACGGTAACACCATTGGTTGAAAAAACATGATACTGTTTTTCTTTTCCTGAAGTAGTTACACATTTTTTGGCAGATTCTGTATATTATCACCACCTCCCAATTTAGTTTTCTTTAAATAGGAAATCAAAGAAAATATGGTTAGTAGATGTAATAATGATGAACAGAACTGTCATCTTATGCTTAGAATATCAGGTGTTAAGATATGATATTGAGAGGAGCTTGCACATCTTTTAAGTACTAAGGAGGATATTTCCATCTAGTAAAACACATGGTAACCTCAACAGAAGCCTATAAAATAAAGCTTGGCAGAGGAGAAAAAATTCCAGATGGACATCTTGAAGAGTACAGTTACAGTGATAGAGAAGAGCAGATCTGTAATGCATAGACTACAAAGAACAAATACTGAAGGTTATATCTTGACATGTAGGGTAGGCAGTTTTGGGTGCCACTGAGGACTGCTGAGATGCTTTCATGACTAGGCACTTAGAAATTTTGTGCTAAGTAAGCAGTCTTTCTATAATTCTTATAAAAATACCATGGAGTAGGCATATATGGTCATTTATCCACAGTTTTAATCTGAAGAAAAGAAAGGAGTCTTGAATGTTAGAATGATTAGCTTTTGCTCCTGATTTCCTCATCTTGGGACTGGAGACATGGCAGCAGTTATAAGTCAGTTCGCTTTGTTTACTACTTATACTCTGCCTCTCTCATATGCCATAGCTTTCTTCAATCCTTGAGTTTCCCAAGATTGTAGTATGAGTGAGCATATTTACTGTCTCCCTCACCCAGAATGCAAAAGAGTGAATCATGGTACAGTGGGCATGAATTTGTGTTACTACACCATTAACCCCACAATAGATCTACTCATAACAAAATTACAGTGAAATATAGTAAGTTACCCTACACTTCTTTTAACTGATCTTAATAGCCATGTACTTAAATTTACTAAACTATTTACATCTCCTCAATTTTTACATCAGAAAAGCCAACTTAATTTTGTGTTCACTGTAGTTCATCTGTATAGCATTCTTTCCAGTTTTTTATGTACTAACTTGTTTGTTTCATTTTGCCTTCTGTTTCATCCCCACTGCCCTGTGCATTGTGGCTTTATGATTTCCAGTTTCTCAAATGTCCAGTTTGTCTCTGTTCCTCTTGCCCCAGTCTGCATGGTATTTATAGCGCCCTCTCTGAAAAGCTTCCTTTGAGCACCATTAAATATTTTTGTGGTTGTGATCATTGTTTCAAGTGTCCAGTGAAATACGTTTTTTGCTTTTGTTGGTTTTATGAATGAAGTTTGAGGTTCTAGACTCAGGATGATTAGTATTGGTGAGTTTCTTCTATCTTACATTAGGTTTCTTTACTTGGTATAAACTGCTGGAGTTTTGAGGCAAAAGCCCCAGTTCTAAGGGTTCCTGTAGACCAGGCATATCCCCTTGTCCTGGAACACCAAGGAGATGAAGTGATGAGGGACAAGAAAGGAGCTTTAATCGGCACGACTATGCTGGGAAGCACAGAGAAGTTCAAGATCTGTCTTTCAGGGACTGATGAAAACTTGTGAGTTCTACAGAAAAGGGGAGCAAAGGGAAGGATTGGGGGTTTTTGAAGCTGAAGCTGGGAATTTAGCTTTCAAAGCAGGTAATCCTGGCCATGTGGTAGTATGGTTGATCTGTGATTTCAAGACAGTTTCTGTGAGGTCAAGGGAGAACTATCATGGCTTGAGAGTATATTCTGGGTCCTAACAAGAGATGACAATGCCTTTTGCTGAAAGGGGCAGCCTCAGTTTCTCTCATGGGGTAAGTGCCCCTGCCTGAGGGGTGACCTCTCTATAAGGAGGTCTTCAAGGCTCTACTTTTCCTGAAATCCAAGGTTAGGGGGAGGTTTAGGTCCATGTTTTAAGACTTCTAGGCATCACTCTAGGGGATCTGGGACTGGCCGTTATAAAAGCTAACAATTGGCTGACCTGAAAATTACTTTAGTTATTCTCATCTTGGTATCATGTGTCTTAAAGGAGTATGAAATAAAACAGGTAAATGTGGGAGTTATAACATTTGTATTACAGACACTTTTTATGTGATTAACATGCTTACATGCAGAGCTGAGCCAGAATGTGACCCAAAATTTCAAGGCAGTACAGCTTCATCTTGCTTTTAGTTAATCTGTTGGGCACTTGTGAGTGCAAATCTTAATGTACACTATCTTGCCCAAGAAGCTTAGTGCCAGTGTTTCAGAGATGTTAGTGGGCAGGCTTCACTCTACAGTGTGATAGAGGAAGTAAGCAGCATCCTTCAGTAACAAAGATGTAGTTCTCAGGCAGCCAAACCCACTGAAGGAGCTTACTGGGCTCTCATGGAAGGTTTAGTTTTGTTAGAGTATTTCTTTATTTTTAGACTGAATTTAAAAACAGCTACTACGTAGAACTGGGGTGTAGCTCAGTGATAGAGTGCTTGCCCAGCGTGTGCAAGGCCATGGGTCCCATTCCCAGCACTGTAGGGGGAGGGGGAAGACAGCTAGTCGCTACCTGTGACATGGTAGCCCAGGGACGGGAAGGGTGTGGGAGGCGTGGAGTAGACATGGCCCTTAATGTTCCTAGGCAGTCTTTTTGCCCCATTCCCGTTTCTGCTTTTCCTTTTCTAATCTTGAAATGTCTGTGGAGTTCTACCAGATAGCATGACAGGTGCATCCATTCCTAGACTTCTTTTGTGTTTATTCTAAGATGTGGCTTTCTTCACTTTTGTTTATTCATCAGCTGTGAATATATTGTAAATTTTCTCCCTAAATTTTAGTGAGGCAGCAAGCAGGGGGCAGAGGAGACACATTTTGAAATTAATTCTAAGCCCTAAGTTTTGTTGGCAACATTGAGCATTTGAGATTTCATAAATTTAAATTTACATAAAGAACAGGTTATTATTTGTGTCCTAAGAATTGATAGAATAGCTTGAAATGTTTATAGATTATGAAATTATTATAGTGCTGAAATGCACATCACTTGTTTATGAATAACTTGTACTTTAAAATTATTTATAAAGCTATTTGGAACAAAGAAAGCTAACAAATGGTACTCCCAGATACTTGTGCAGGAGAGGGATTGTGGGAAGGTCCCAGGCATTGCCATTTGCTCCTGATTGATAGTTGGAGTGTCCTCCAGTAAGAAAGTTCTGCAAAGTAATGTAGAAGTTACCTGATGATGTTTACATTTTAGAATTAGAGAAAATTGCTGGTTTCCAGTATAAAATTCGCTAATTTTAGATTGCCTTCTTTGCTACAACAGTAAGATAAAAGCTCTTGTTCTTGTTGTATTAATTAAAGAAAAATGAACTGTGCTATATTGGGATATATAGTTACATTTAGGATGTGGATTGTGTTTTATTTTAATGGAAGATAAAAGTTTGTCTTGTCTTCTAATAAGTGAAAATGCATCTGTGTACAACATTATTTTTATTTCTTAAAACTTTTTGGGAAAGTTAATTGCTACTATATGGTTCAGGGATTTAGTGCAAGAAGAAGAACAGTTGATGGAAGAAAAGAAAAAGAAAAAAGACGACAAGAAAAAGAAGGAAGCTGCTCAAAAGAAGGTAGTATATGATAAACTTTATGTTAAGTGATTTAAACAGACTAAAAGAAAATTTTACCTGGTTTTTAAAGCATTTGGTTTAATGTTTTAACGTCAGTGGAGATTCATTTTAATATTCAATGTATGTGAATATGCATATGAAGTGACTTGCTGTGTGTGTACAATTTAATGCATGTTTAATCTTGCTGATAGTTTTTCAAAGGTAAGTACATTATATAGTTCTTTAACTTCCAGTTCACTGTTCCTAAGTATTTTATAATGATATAATGGGAAGAGTATGGAATTTGTAGGCACACAGGGAGGAACTGTAGCCTCATTTTCCCATAGCACACAGAACAGTGTGGCCTTAAAGTTTATTTAGCCTCTCTGGGCCTTAGTTTCCTTACATTTTGCAAATAAAATAGCATAGTACATTAATGCAATAGAAAAAAAAGTAACACAGAAATGTAGTTAAGGAAATTGTAATACAATAGGGAATAAAATGTTAATTTCCTTCTCCCTTTTTGTTTGATTCCTGGACTGATTTTTTTTAAATTGGCAGTTTACATAAGGTACAGAACTTTAAAATAAATTTGAGACAATAGATACATAACAGCCCTAACCAATAGGAAAAAACTGGCCAAAGCAATATATGTTAAGGCAACAATGAAAAACTATCTTCATAAAATTCTTTAAATGTTTTTAAAACTAAATGTTGTTGATAGTTAACTAATCTTAGCAGTCATTTCCTACTACATTAAGGTTTCAAAGACCTTAAAATATTCTAAAATGAAACCACTCTTCCATTTCTCTATTTAATTAAAAATTATTATTCTAACTTTCAATATGCCTCTTTCATGCTGAACACTATGCTAGGTGCTGGATATAGACTACAGTAACATGTCTGTTTAATAAGGACGAAGGCAGGATACAGAGATGGTAGGTAAGGCATTTATTTTTGGGAGACTGTTGAAGTGTAGAGAGGTGCATAACGTCTGAGATAGGGCCAGAAGATGGAATTTTCTTAAATTCCAAATTGTTTGGGTGAGTAAAGAGGAGAATAGTGAAGGACTACAAGCAGAGTAAACTCAGAAGTATCTATAGCCTGCACGAGATAATGGGTTTTGACTGGGGGCAGCCACCAGCAGGAATGGCAGGTCACACAAAAAGGTCTGCGGTAGCTGTAGGCTCGGCTTTGACCCTTTGGGGGAGGGCACTAAACATGCCTTAGTAGAGTGACATAAAAGTTTATATTTTAGAATGTCTGCTGAATTGAACCGGAAGCAGTGGTACCACAGAGTGAAATACTGGCAAAAGTAACCAAATAGTATACCAAATCTGCTTAAAGGACATGAAGAAAGAGTAGCCTAGGTTGATGATTGAGTGGCTACATTTTGGGAGCAGATAAGGTAGGGAATACAGAAAGAGGAAAAATGATTAATTCAGTTACAAGTATGCTGAGTTTAAGGGGTTGTCAGCAAGTATGGGCAGAGAGATGCAGTACAGAGCATTTTGGATAACTGAGTAGAAGATGAGATGATGGGTACTCATATGTGCTTTGATCTCATGAGTCTTCCGAAAGGGATGCATGGGTGTATGTCATAGCTAGGGTTAGGGTAGGTTTCTAGTGTGGAATGCTGGTATTGGCGGATGCTTTGGGCCTCTGCAGAGACTTACTTATGTATGTCAGTCTTTGCTTAGGATTTATGGAAAAGTTGTGTCCTCTATAAGTCTAAAAGTTAAGGAAAGACTTCAAATTCTTGTTCTGTAGCATGAACGTTGTTTACCAAATGACAAAAACGTTTAAGATACATGAGAGTCATTGAAGAGGACGCTTGGATGTGCTTGATGTAAAATTAGTAGTTCGACTAGCATGGGTTTTGTTATCATCATCATTATTATTGTTATTAGGTTCCTGTGTGTCCTGCCACCTAAGGAACTCATGATTTAACCATCAATTCAGAATGTAGTACAGTGTATGTAGAAATGCTAAAAAGGAGGCCTAAGTCACTGGAATGATTTACTTAAATACTGTATTTTTTGTGAGTATAATGTAGTTCTTAAAGTTGTAACATAAATAACGGCTGTAATTATTATGAGTTCATCTTTACATTCTTTCGTAATCTAAATCACCAACTGTGTGAAAGTGGTTCCTTAAAGTGTGCCCAGCATAAAATAGCTTCTAGCAAATGGGCAGTGATTTTTGTGCTGTTTGGCTCATATCAAATCACTTGAAGTGACAGGTTTTCACTCTTTTTCACTTCATCCCTACCTTACCCCTTGGCAGGAGTTTGTTACCCCCATCATGTCCTACTAGAAAGATCAAAGTTTAAAGATGAGCTTTTTCTTTTGCCAGATTTTCAGGATTGATAGGGTGTTGCATATAGTGATATAAGGTAGAGGCTAATACCTCTAGTAAACATTAAGTTTAATGTTCTACACTGTCACTATAAATAAGACTATTCTCCCAATTTCAGGAAGTCAGCTTGTGACTGAATTTGATACCACCTGTTGGTGAAGTGAAGGCAGGTGGTATTTCCATAAATTGTTATCAAATAACTCTAGAAATTTCCTAAATTGGCACACTTATAGTCTATATGAAAGACTTGAGTCACAGAAGTTTTATGACATGCTTCTTACAGGTTATATTCACCAGCAGGTCTATCTAAGTAAGTGACAGACATCTACATCGCCAGGTGGGCAGACCTGTTTACGTAAACACATTACAAAGAAAACAGACTGCCTGTTTTATATAAACCTATATATACTTTCATTTTCAAAAAAGATATTATCTGATATATTCATTTTCAGTCTAAGAAAACCTCAGCATCAGAATGAATTAAGTAGCTAATCTTGGTTTCATCATGATGATGGAACCAGGAATAAAAATCTTCTAATTGCTCTGGCTGATATTTTTTCAGAACCCTTGCCATGACTTTATCCTTTTGATGCAGAACATTATTTTTTGATTTTTCACCATCTAAAGGTAAACTTTGATAAATAGTACGTTATGGTAGTTTTTATAATAGGGTGTTAATAAGTCCTTGTGCCACAAATACAGAAAGTGTAGCTTTAATAATACTCACCTGGTCTTTTAAAGAAATTTAAATTTATACCACTGGTTGTTTTCTATTTCAAATTAAAAAGACAAGCAAAACTTATATAAATAATTATACATCAAATACTACAGTATTTTCACTTCAGCTGCTTTACTCATTTTACGTATTATTTAAATATAAATTTAAATGATTTTTAAAAGAAATATTTTACAAATTTAGGTGATTTTTTTAAAATTATACTTCAGCCCTAGTACATCTCTAATTAATATAGAGATTAATATCTGGATGACTTTGTTTTTAATTTTTTATGCTTGAAAAACCATTTCCTAGTTTCTGTATGTATAATTCTTTTCACATCTAAGAATCAGGGCTATTTTGCTATCTTTTAATTCTTAGGCATAGAAAGTAATTTGCTAGAACATGGAAATGTATTTTTCATAAAAGAAAGGGCACCAGTAGATTATCATGGCTTTCTCTCCAGGTTGTTTTTGGAAGAACTTTCTCGAAGGGATCTTAAGGAAACTGTCATGAGGAAGGAGGTTGGAAAATAGGCTTAATTATAGAGGGATAATTTTGAATAACCTTTACTTTAAGCATGTGATTGTAGGTTCTGGAAAGCAGCTAAGACTTAAAAGCTAAAGGAAGCAATAGTACAAATTGGGATCTTCCAGTGTCAAAGAGTGTTTCAACATTGGTGGGATTTTTTTTGTTGTTACTGTGTTAAGAGCTGAAGAGAATTTTACAGGCTTTGTTGATTAAAACATACTAAATTGAAGTTTAGATGAGACCTGGGTTGTAGAAAATTTATGATTTATTCCCTTTTAGGAGATCATATTCAGCAGTCTAATTAATACATATTCTTAGTAACCTTGGTGGTAATATAATCAAGCTGAATGGAGCTGGCAGGTATTATCTTACAGTCATGCTCCTTATTCTACTATAGTCTACTTTATCTTCATTTAAAAAGTTATTCAGCAAAATTAAAAATTAAACATCTATTAAAAATTAAAAAAATTATTCGGCCTGAGTTTGAGACTCAGTGCTCCTTAGTAAATCACAGGAAAACAGGACTTGGGGACTGACAATGAATATAGAATCAGCTGATTTCTAAAGGCAAGAGAAAGGATGGAGCCAAAGCACAGGAAGATGGAGATGATGAAAGCAGCACCAGAAAGTACCTACGTAATTATGTCTCAAGTTAAGTCTCTTTAGTATCATAATTCTGAGTTGGATTTTTTTGCATTTTATAGATAAGGAAAGTAAACATTAGAGAAGCTAAATAATTTGATGAGGGTTACACAGTGTAAGTGGTAGAACCAGAATTCAGAACTACGCAATCTGACCCTGAGCTCATTACAACTGACTACATTTAGGAATTGTGGATTTGGAACAAGCATTACAGAGCCTATCACAAAGCTCCCACCCTGCTCTTGCTTATCTGATGCCTTCATTAATGAAATGAGGCAATTTTCTTAATGTTTTGTAGAATCACAGCTCAGATTTTTTTTTTTTAAGGAAAAAATATTAAACATGAAAATGAGTAATTTGCCTTTTGTGTAAAAGAATTTATAGTGATACCTTACATGTAATAGTGTGTAGTTTTTCCAAAAAAGATCTTTCATGTTTTGTTTGTCAAAACAGACTTGATAGATAAACAGAACAATTAGTTTGTCCATTTGAAGGATTAGGAAACTAAGACCCAGAGAATTTTTATGGCAACATCATTTACAAATAAAAAGAAACAATTGAAGATAATTTTAAGTATTTTATGAAAGCCAATAGAGCCAGTGTTACTATTTTAGTAGTAATGTTAATGATAATTACTTATATTATTGAAAGGTTGTTAATGAGATATTTGATCTTCTTTTAAAATCATAGATGTTAAAATACTGTCTGTATTTGGTACATCTCAGTTTATACTAGTCACAGTGCAGTGATTAGTAGCCAAATTCACAGTGCAGTGATTAGCAGCCAAATGTGATTAGTGTCTACTGTTTTGAACAGTGTATAGTTACTATTAAAGTCACTGAGCTCACGTGAAAAATTCTCATTTTAATAATTTGAGCTCCACAGACCAACCCACACAAATCTATTTTAAACATGGAAATTCTGTCAGTTCCATTTCTCCCTAGTGGGTTTTTAGTTTCTGTCTCTTAGGTTCCATAACTATAGTATATATTAGATCCATGTCCTAAAAAGGTAGACACCTTAGTATATCTCCTTAGTGTCATTCCCTGTAGATTACAGAATATAGAATGAAACTAACATTTTTTTTTCCCAGAGGAGTTGCTTTATGTTGTAGGACCTAGGAGAGCAACATTGGGTTTTAATAGTGTGGTTGTGGTTTCTGTGTCTTTTAATTCAGTATCCTTTGAAAAGGATTCAGAAAGTTTTTGTAGACAGGCTTTCATTATGCAAAATAATTTTTATATTAATTTTTTGGCCTTAGAAAATTGTTTGACATGACACTTGTAATACTTAAAAGTGTTCTAAGCTCTTGCTAATGAAGACTTGATTTTATTCTGTTACCAGATTTTTTAAATGATTTCCCATAGAAATAAATACTGACATGCTAGTCGACTGGTCTTCTGATGTCCGGCCATCAGTTTTTTCTTTTAATTTTATTCAGAGTAAAAGATGGGCCTCCATCATTTGTGTACCTTTAATGCTCCAAAACTTGGTAAAGCACTTCAGTGCTTGTACTAACCCTTAAGGAAAGATTAATGTTTGATATGAGTTCAATATGAGGGTAATTACTATTGTTTTTATCATTATATCTATAATCATATAGTTAAAATAGGATTTTTGGTAACTCAATAATTTGATATGACTAAGCAAAATGATTTGTCATGTCCATAACAAGCCTTGTATTAAGCCCAAAATGTTGATTATTCAGTTAGTATTCAGTCTTTCCTTGTCAGCTTGCCCAATCTTGAATCTTATTTTTAGGTCTCCCATTCTGTTGGTCTTGATGCAGGGCCCTTCAAGGTTGAAGCTAGTCACCTTGAGACAATCCTGCTTATGTTCAAGCCCTTCTTGGTTGTGATACTCAGAAACAGTGAAAGTAGAAATAGGTTTAGGAAAGCAGTGATAGCAGAGTTCATTTCAGGTCAGCTGTCGATCACAGCGATTTTAATGAATTGTCAGATGTGTTAGAAGTGACAAGTTAGACATTCACAAGTTTTAACTACATTTAACTATGCTAGCAATGTAACCCCCAGAAGTTAAATTTATTGCCTGTTTGGACAAAGCAATTACAGAAAACATAATTGCTATTCTTACAGAAAATATAATTCATCTTTTAATATTGGTGACAGAGTTGAAGCCTTTTAAAACATGCAAAGCTTATCAAATTCATTATATGTAGAAGTGACACATAAAAGTGATTTTTAAATTGTGAAAAAAGTGCAGCACTCTTTTTAAAAATTACATAGTCATACAGTGTCTTCTATGCTTTATATCTAATGAAACATACAGTCTTCTAAAATGAATAAACAGTATCAGGAATAATGGGACACATCTGTGGGGAAAACACGCATTCTTTGCATACCTTTTGCTGTGCACTTCATCTGAATGACAAGTTCCTTGTTTAATAAAAATGTATGTCATATAATAGTAATATATGAGCATTTTATCATAACAGTCCATTTATTTCAGTTTCATATTTACATTGTTTTTTGTTTGTTTGTTTTTATTTTAGGCCACTGAACAAAAAATCAAAGGTACGTTGTTTAAAGCTATTTATTATTATTTTTTCATGAAATCAAGGTTGTTTATATGCATTTTTATTCGTCTCTAGGATGGAAAAGAAGAACGTGATACAGGGGTGGGACTAGACTTCTTTGGTGACATCACCTTTGAGGTTTATGGTTTATCATGGTGTATATACCACTTCTAAAATATACTACCATGAAAGCTGTGTCTCAGATGAACAGCACTCCCTAACATACTCTCTTGTTTTGAGTCTTTGGGCACATGCATCTTTTTTTAGTCTTCCACTTAAGTCTTCATGAATGAACCTACTACCAGGATCTTACTTATCTGTTGAGGTTCTACCTACTTTCTTATTCCTTGTTCTTTGGTGGTGATACTGTTTTCTCCTCCTCTTTCTTGAAGGTGTGATAGCGATATCCATCTCCATGTTACCGTTTAGAACAGTAGCTTGCTAACCTTTTGCTCATTGAACCTGGTCAAATAGCACGTAGTACATTCCAAGCAAAATACTTCAGGGAGAGAAAAAGAACCCTATCTTCTCTAGACTTCCTGATGGGAATCCTTCACCTCTGGAGTTCACTGCATGGTAATAAAAGGTGTAAGGTCTCTGAGGCTGACTTATTAGGTTTCAGGGTTCTAAATTTTGAGTTTTAGCTGTGTCAGAACTCTGGGCTCTGCCTTTTGTTGATATATGCACTCAAAACACTGCCTACCTTTGTTTGAGGTCAGCCTTGGTTGAGGTTTCATTTAGTAAGTGCTTAAGAGTAAGTAAGAACAAACGTAGCTTATATTTTACTGCAGAAAGGGTGACAGTGAGAGGACATACCCAAACATATTATATGATGTGATTTATCCAGGTGCTCAGGAGGGTGACACTGAACCTAACATGGGTAAAGGAAAATCTTGAGATTATAATTAGAAGGTGAAATGGATGGTTACAGAAAAAATGAGATGGCAAAGGAATCAGCATAATTCGTGTCATAGAGAAAAAATAATGTGATGTTAAGAGCAATTGACTCATTTCTAGAGCATTAAATTCCCATTGGCAAATGGGAAAAGTTGAGTATAAAGAGAGATTAAGTTGAAGAGAGTTTTATATGCTCTGTATTTATATTTGTATATGCACACATTGAGAAGTTTGAACTTTCATAGGCAGTTAGGAGCTACTGAGGAGAGCAAAGGAGTAGAATTGTTTGTTGTTTTGGGTTTTCTTTTCTTTTTTTTTTTTCCCCCCCTTTTAAAAAATCTGTTGGCCCATTCAGGCTGAAGATTGAAAATTTTTGAATTTTTTACATGAAAAATCATACAGGTCATCTCAAAAAATTCAAGGAACAAGAATTTAAAGAGAACACATTTCATTATGTATCATTGTGATGAATGTTCCAAAAATTGGGTTACTAGGCTTTGAAGGGTTAACCACTGGCATGGAAACTATTGACTGAAAACTATGTTGGCATGTGAAAAGTAAAACCAAAGAAGAAAAGTATGCTGGGCAAAGGAGACAAGAAAATAACAGAATATGAACATAGTGTGTTCCTGTCTAGCATAGAAGTACTGGAGAGAGGTGACAGGATGTAGCTCTGGAGGTAGTGGGACTCCAAGGGCTTCATGGTACTTAAGCAAAAAGCCTGAAAATGTCTGCATTGTCATGGTAATAAGCTGTGTCTTGGGAACATCTTCCTCAGCAGTTTCTAGTGTCACCAACAGCAATAAGATCAGAGAAGAAAAGAAGGTAGTAGAGGTTTACACTCAAGTCTTGGTAGGAAGAAGTGAGAGATGTGTGAGACATGATTAAAAAGATTGGCAGCTGGTGAGGTCAGCAGAGGACTTGGAGGTAAGATTATGGTTTTGACACTGTTGAAGTAGTGACTGAGATACTGAATGTAGGGAGGAACATTATTAAGTTAATTTTTGTAAGATTCCACTTTGCTCATGCCATGCCTGTATTAGAGTGTGTTTTTCTAGGGGATCTTGCTTTAAGGCCAAACGCTGCTGACTGGCTTTCAAGGACTTAAAATCTTAACTTCCCATGCTCTATAAACAACCTGTTTCTTACTAGTGTTTTATACTTTCTAGAGCATTCTTACCTCTTTCACCATTTCTATTTTCTTTTTGATCCAGTTTCTCAAACAAAGATGTCTTCATCTTGCTATTTAGCATTTTGAGTCCTCTTAGAGTTCATTATTTTTTTTTTTTTTTATAGACAGGATGTTGCTGTGTAGCCTCGACTGGCCTTGAACTCAAGGTTCTACTTCCCCAGCTTCCCACACGTGTGTTGTTGTTATAGGCATGTACTACCATGCCCAGCTTTGGGGCTCATCTGTAATGGATCACTTCAACAGCCGTTAATCTCTCCCTTTCCAGTTTCTTAGGCTTTTACGGTATATCTTAAGTATGAGAACCTGATTATATTCTGTATTAGATTATTGACTGAGTGGATATTTTTGCCCCAGCATCATCTTTGAGTTCTGCTGTTATATCCTTTCCAAATGTAAATCATTCTTTTATAGTCTTACATAAAATCTGAACACTATTTAGATCTTCTTGTTTTTAGATTTCCACAGCTCTGAGTATGTTAGGTGGAAGATGCATCAACAACTGTTTCATTCATATCATCCTTCCTTATTGGGAGCACCCTTCATAATTGGTCACATCATCTTTTTATTTATAAAAATATATTGTTTTACTTTTATGCCATGTGTATATATGTGTGGTTTATGGTTCACAAGGATAAATTCAGAAATTACAGAGTGCAGGCTTGAGAACTAGGTTTGGCCCACACAGTGGTGGTGATGGTGGCGGTGTTTTTAATATACATATACATAGGAAAGTGAATATTATAATCAATCAATTACAATCGGTCAATTGACATACATATTCTCCCACATAATGACCTGTATTTTTATTTATTTATTTGGTGCTGGGTATTGAACTCATGACCTTGCGCTTGCCAGGCAGGCACTTAAGCCACGGAGCTAAATCCTCAGCCCCCCTGTATTTACTTTTAAAGGCAAAATAATTTAAAATCTCTTTTGTGAATTTCTAATATATAATACAGTTACTTACTATAGTTTTTATACAGTGTGTTTATCTCGACTTACGTAACTGCAGCGTTGTGTCCTTTGATCTGTATCCCCCCTTCTCCGTCTTGTAGTACTTCTCTCTGCTTCTCCCTCTCCCTCCTCCTCTCTCCCTTCCCCCTTCCCTCTTTATTTCCTCTTTTCTATCCCTCTGACTTCCTTTTCATCCTCACTTTTCCTCATCCTTCCCTCCGGTCCTAGATACTCTCCTTTTCAATAAGACCGTGCAGCAGTTTTATTTCTTTCATTTAAATGAGATCATGCAATATTTTTATTTCTTTTACGTGGCTTAGTTCACTTTGCTTGTCTTTAGGATTCATTCATGCTGTTGGAAATGGCAAGATCTTTTAATGATGAAGATATATGCCACAATTTATTCGTTCATCTGTCAACAGACACAGGCTTTTCCATGGCTATTGTGAATGATGCTGCGGTGAACATGAGAGTGCAGCCTTCATTTCATTTGGGTTTATTTGCAGAAGAGAGATTGCTGGGTCATATGGTAGTTCCATTTTTAACTTGTTGAGACTCTAAAAATTTCTCAGTGATGAAACCTACCATAATGAATCTCAGGAACTTTGTGGTTTGACAGGGATTACTGTACCAATAGATTTTTTAGAGGCGAAAACTGAGATCCAAGTAAGTTAAGGCTTCAGACAGGCTTCAATCATATAAAATAATGGCATAAATAAACAATTACATTTGGGGCCATTACGGTAAACTAAAGATGTCACCCACAACTAAAGATGATAATCTAAGAAACTCTAGCCACCCCAGACTAAGAGATGTTTGTCTCTGTAGCTTACCCATACCTCATTTTTGCCACATTGGTTGGGAACTTCTGCAGTGTTAGTGTTGAGGCTTTATTTAATTCACTGTTTTTGCTCACAGTCTACATAGTAGAAGTTGTGTTTTTTGTATTTACAGGCTAGTAATTAAGTACTAGCAGACTGTCTTGTGATTCCTAATTGCCATGGTAGGATCTGACTTATTGATTGATTGTCTTTTTGAGACAGGGTCTCACTATGTAGTTCAGACTGGTCTTGAGCTCACTTTGTTGCCCAGGCTTGGTTTTGAACTTGCAATGATCTTCCTGCCTCAGCCTCCTGAGTGCTGGGATTTTAGGCATGTGCCATCACAGGTAGCATGGTTTTATATCTTAAAGGTAAATGTATGCTAAAAATTTTAAGTGAAAACCGATTTTTTTTTTTTTTTTTTTTTTTGGTCTTTTTCCTTTTTATCGGTACCAGCGATCAAACTCAGGACTGCCTGCTTGCAAGGCAGGCGCTTATGCTGCTGAGCTAAATCCCCAGCCCCTGAAAACCGATTATTAACTAACCTAGAATTTATCAATGGCAGATGTTTTTCTTCTTTTGGAAGATGTCTTTGAGCTATATAAGAAATAAGATTTTAGCTCTACTAATAGAAAAAAATACTCTTCTCCCTTAATAGGAATTAGTAAATAAAATTACTAATAAAATAGTCAAAATCACCATTTTCTTTCCTCTGAGAGAAAGAAATGGTTTCATTTATTTCCAGCAAATATAGATGTTTGCTTATACTGCTAAATTATTATAATTGGTAGATATGAGTGATTTTGTACTTGAGATGTATTTGATGAGGTTGAACAGGACAAAGTAGCTAGGAAGTAGGTGTGAAGATATCAGAAATTAGTGCAGCTGGCAGTGAACTATTGTTAATAACTAGGTTTAGGAACTAAGAAACAGTAGTTGTTGGAAGTTTCTGAGACTACCCAAGAATTTTACCCTGAGTCCTAAGATTTATCTTGATAATAATTGGCTTCCATTTAAAGAAGACAAAGATTATTCTGGTTTAAATTTTTATAAGATTGAGACTGAACTAGCAAGAGTACCATTGTCGACTGTAACCAGTTACAAGTTCTCTAGACTAGGAAAAAACATAACTTA